TTTTTTTTTTGATAAGGTAAGTATATTATATCCAAAGTGTAAAAATAAAGTACAAATCACAGGGGCATACCCAAGGAAACAATGCTAGGAATAAATGCCTTCCTAACAACAATAACAGAAACCTAGATTAGTGCTCATATCCTAATCACGACAATAAAAAATATTCAATGAAAAATCGCAAGAGCGTTGGAGCCACCTATTCTTATTAGATGGAACCAAGCCCCTACATGAATTCACTCATGCACAAATAGAGAAAATAATATTTCGAATAACAGCAGACTTATGTTTAGGAGCCTCCCCATAGGTCCTAGCATTGTGCTCACGCCAAATAGCATAAATCGAAGCTGCAAACATCACCCGAATAATGATGGAAGACAATGACTTCCCACGAAATTGTTCCATCCAAGAAAGAGTATCTGGCCAACGCCATTGAACCCAAGGCAAGTTACATTTCGCATGCAAAGTATTCCAAACACGCTCAGAATATGGGTAAGCAAAGAAAAGATGATTCAAATCCTCCACTGAACAATCACACAACACACAACGCATAGACTGTACCAAATCAAAGCAAAGAAGCTTTGTCTGTGTATAGATGCCACCTTGAATAGCTAGCCAAATGATAAATGCATGACGTGGAATACATTTAGGGAACCAAACAATATGATACCAAGCTACCCTAGGGCAGCGAAGTCGAAGAGACTCCCAAGCACTCCGAACAGAGAACACTCCCTGTGCATCAACCTCCCATCGCAATACATCTTCTCTATTACTATCCGGCCGAAAAGTAGCAAGCGTATCTCGCATTAAGTCAGATAAAGCTGGGGAACGAACTGATGGCCATCTCCAAGTATCACCCTCAACAATAACAGCCACCTTAGCTAGTCTACTTAATTTGGATTCACGAATTATCCTCTCTCCCAAAATCTTCTCTAAAGGGCCAAGAGGATGCCAATTATCATACCAAAGCGAGGCACGTCTACCATTACCAATTCTGAATTTCATTTTGTCCCTTCCTATATCCCGGAGTCCAAGAATCTTCCTCCAACTCCAAGAGCAATCCCCAGGACACTTCAATTCCCAAATGCTCCGTCCTTTAAGTAAATAACAACGTGCCCATGAAACCCAAAGAGAGGAGGCAGAATTCGTACAAAGGGACCAAAGGTGCTTTAACATGGCAGCCTTATTCCAAATCTCCAAGCTCCGTAGACCCAAACCACCCTCCTCCTTAGGCATACAGATTTTTGCTCAAGCCATTTTAGCCCCACTGGTGCCAAGGTTACTACCCTTCCACAAGAAGACCCGTAGTGAATTTTCCACTTGCTTGATCACAACCTTAGGTAAAAGAAATACAGAGGACTTATAGACCTGAATAGAAAATAATACTGACTTAATAAGTTGTAACCTGCCTGCATAGGAGAGTGCTCGACAAGTCCAACTCTTAGCCCTAACTATAATACGATCCATCAATATCTTACAATCCAAAGCCCTCAATTTGGTAGAGATAAGTGGAACACCAAGATAACGTACTGGTAGCACGCCCTCCTTATACCCCAAGACATCAAGCAACTGATCCTTAAGATATAAAGAAACACCACTGGCAAATAGATTACTCTTATCTGGATTAGGAATAAGTCCAGAAAGAGCTTTGAATCGATTAAGGCATTCTCCAATGAGAGAAACAGAACCAACCTCAGCCCTACAAAAGACCATAAGATCATCAGCAAAACACAAGTGGGTGATCTTCTCCTTCTCACACCTGCAGTGGTATTTAAAGTCCTATTCAGAAACCATCAACCCCATTAACCCTGAGAAGACCTCCATTGCCAAGACGAACAAATAGGGCGACAAAGGATCTCTTGCCTCAAACCTCGCCCACCAGCAAAGAAACCATGCAGCTCCCCATTAATGAAAATCGAAAAACGAGTGGTAGTGACACACTCAATAATCCACCTAACAACTCTCTCGGGAAAACCAATCACCCTTAAAACTGCAAAGAGAAAATCCCAACGAACAAAATCATATGCTTTCATAAGATCAATTTTAAGAGCACACCTAGGTAATCCTCCCATGCGGTGATAATTCCTCAACAATTCTTGGGAAAGAAGGATATTATCACTATATGCCGTCCTTTAACAAATGCAGTTTGTTGGGGCCCAACAATGTCTGGGAGCACCATTTTAACTCTATTGACAATAAGCTTAACAATACATTTATAAATAGTATTACAACAAGAGATAGGCCTAAAGTCCTTTACCTGGGAAGGATTAGGAACCTTAGGGACCAATGAGATGGAAGTAGCATTAACTTGCTTCAATAGGTGTCCCGAGTCAAAAAGGACTTGAGTGCACATAAGACATCATTTTCCACAATACTCCAAGTCCTCTTGAAGAAAACTGCATTAAAACTATCAGGCCTTGGAGCTTTGTTGTCTTTAAAAGAGAACAAAACCTCTTTAATCTCCTCAAATGACACATCTCTATCAAGGCTTTCATTTTGCACTGCTGAGATACTCTTAGAAGAGCTTTTCGAAGCAAGTCCATATATAGACTCTCACCACTAGGCTGTTGACCAAGGAGATTTTGATAGAGCGCAACAATGACTTCACTGATCTCATGTGGCTCCTCCACTCTAGTACCATCATCTTTACAAATAGAAACCACCTTACTTTTGCTATAGTGACTTTTCAAAGCCTTGAAGAAGAAAGCGGTATTATGGTCGCCTAAATTCAACCATTTAACACGAGATTTTTGTCTCAAAAAGCCTTCTTCAGCCCTACTCAACTCACAAAATTCCTTTGTAACCGAGTCTCTTCCCTATGTAACGATGAATCCAAAGGCGAATACTGAATCAAACACTGAACATGTTCTATATCAGTCCGAGCTTGAGTAACTCTCGTAGGAAGTTTTCAAAAATGATCCTTATTACAATCTTTCAAGGCAAGCTTCAATTTTTTCAACTTCGAACACAAACTAAACATAGGGGTTCCCACGACTGCTTCACCCAATACCTGAGCCACCAAAGGAAAGAAATCCAAAAGATCCATCCAAAAATCAAAGAAACGGAATGGAATCTTTCTACGCTGTAATTCTGCAAGTTTCACAACCATAGGAGAATGATTCGACACTCCAGCAGTAAGAAATTTAGCTACCGATCCCTGAAATTCGTCTTCCCACATCGAATTCACCAATACACAATCTAGTTTTTTGAGAGTTCCTCAAATACAAGTTTATTAGACCATGTATATAAACAGCCTTCAAACTTCAAATCATCCAACCCCACAGTCACCATGCAATTCCCAAGATCATTTTGCCACATAGGCCAAGAAGACGAACCACCTACCACTTCTAAAGGGAAGAGAACAAAATTGAAGTCCCCCATGACCACCCATGGCAAATATGCGAAACCTCCATGCCTAGCTACTAAATCATCACATAGATCAAGACGCTTAACTGGGATATTATCCCCATATACCACTGACACCGCACAACTCCATTTACCATTACATGCATTAACACGAACATGGATAGCTTGAGTAGAGGATCCCACCAACAAGACATCTACATCATTTGGATTCCAACATATCCAAATTCTGCCAAGCGGAGAACAATTATAATTCATAAGGACATTCCACGACTTGAAGATGGCATTCGCCACCTTATTTTGATTCTTCTCCTGAACTTTAGTTTCCACCAACCCACACAAAGAAAGCCCATTGGAAGCAATAAGGCTCTTTACTTCAGATTGTTTGAGGGGGTCATTTAACCCTCTGACATTCCAGCATCCGAAAAACATCATTAAAGTCAAGGGAAAAATCACAACCTCAAAATGGCTAGCACCATCTACCTCCCCTAGGGGAGTGATGCTTCTTGCCTTTCTTATGCTTGCTACCTGACCCATTCTTCTTTTTTCTGGAGAGAATCTCTAGCTTTCGTAGCTAACGTGTTAGACTGAGGGACAGAAGTATCACTATCATCTTCACTTAGAATGGCAATAGGATCTAGAGAAACTTCACCTTCTTCCCCAGTTACAAAAGTCACATTAGGCACATTCGACACTACCAGCTGCAAATCGGGATCACTAGGTGAAGATGATTTATCAATTTCTCCATGAGCCACCTTTACAACCACCAGATGCTTTCCAAGTTCGCTATGCGAAGGTTGCAGATCAACCTCTCCCTGGACTTCCTTTAAATTATCCGACAAAGTATGATTGCCATCTTCTCGAATAGGCACAGTAACACCAGAATCCACACTAACTGCAGACTTCCTCTTATGTGAGACATGGGTCCATTCATCCTCGACAGATGGTTTCTCATTAGCTATATCACTCTGACCAACCTTATCCTTAGCAACCCAAACCTTGGCGAGCTTACCCTTACTCTCACTAGGCTTAGTTTGAGAAGAGCAATTGTGGCCGAAAACCCCACATTCTAAACATTTAATGGAGACCCATTCAAACTCAGCACGAATAGTTATCCGATCCCCATTCGCGCAACAGAGATCAAAATCCTCCAATAACACGTCCAATGCATTAATCTCAACACAAACACGTGCATAGCTAAGACGTTTACATGTAAGAGTGATTGCATCCGCCCGTAGAGGACGTCCCACAGCACTAGCTACATAACTTAATCCCTCCGCTGTCCAGTACTCAAAGGGAATATTATAAAACTTCACCCAAACAGGAATGCTACAAAGATTCTCCTTGGCCAGAGTCATATTAGGTTTCCAGCGCTTCAGAATAAGTGGCCTATTAGCCATATGCCAAGGCGTTCCTTCAAGAACTAAAAGAGCTTGGCGGATAGAATCAAACTTGAAAAAATAGAACCCACCATCTGAGGATAGAACCTCCTTGAGACCAAACCTAACCCACAGTTTATGCGCAATAGAATTCACAACAAGAAAAGCTAATTTCTTGCCGACAAAGGAGCCAACCAAAGTCGTCATCCACATTTCACATCCCGACACAGCCACCTCAACAGGAGGAACTACCTTTACTCTACCATTATCACATCGAGGCTTTATATAATTTAATTCTAGAGAAGAGGAATCTAAGTCCGATTCAGTCACTTGAGTCCCATTTAACACCTTGGCATACGTTCTTGGCTTCAATTGTTCCGATTCAACATTAATTGAATAATTGGGATTTGAGTTATTCAATTTCAAAACAACACCATTACCTACTACATTTTCACAAAACCCATCCTGAAAAGAACCCGGTTGCTGGACATTGAGATTCTGTCATGTGATTGTTTCTAGAGTTCCATTGGAACAGTCGGCTAGGGGAGGAGAAAAAATTGGTTGGGGATTTGGGGTGTGGGTGCTGCCAGAATGATGGGTGCCGCTTGAAGTGGGTTGTGGTGGTTCGATGGATACTGTGGCTGATATGGGTGGCTTGAGGCCAGGTGGGATGGGGAAATGTGGAGAAGGGTTGAAGTCGTCGCCTGTGGAGGCGGTGACCGGCGGGTTGGGATACCGTTTGGTGGTAGGATTAGGCGGATTTGAAGAGCACAGGCTGTTTCCGACGGAGTAATGGGCTGGACACCATCTACCGGTGGTAGGAGGATCTGGTGGCTTAGGTGGTGAGTGGAGCCAGTCATCGGTTGAAGAGGGAGGCGGCACACCCATGGTTGAGAGAAGCTAGGGTTTTCTTTTTGGTAAATGGTGCAATATCCATTTTGCTCTTATTTTTTATTTTTCAAGATAATAGTTAATTTTATTTGTGTTATTTTCCTTCTATAATGATAATAATGATGATGACGATGATGATAATAATAATAATAATTAATGATACTATTAATTATATTATTAAAGTTTATTATTTTTAATAATATAATCAATAATAATTAACGTAATTATTAATTTGACGTAAAGTATAATTCGTAAAGTTTACGTTTAAAGTTTAATTTAACGGAAAGTTTATATTATTAAAGTTTATTATTTTTGTAAATTTAACGTAATTGTTTATCATAAACTAATAATATAATCAATTATTTTTGTCAATTTAACATAATATATAAAACACGTGAATAATTTAGTAATCAATATATTTGTTAATTTAACGAAGTTATGATTTAATAATTTACATATTTATAAAATAAATAAATAATTTTTTTAAATAAATACATTGTCAAAAATCGAAAGAATGAATAAAATAATAAAGCACTGTTCATTTGGTGTAATGGGAGATGAATTTTGTCTTGGTGTAAAATTTGGTGCAAATTTTGGTGCAAAATGGTGTAAATTTTAGTGCAGCGCTGAAGATGGCCTTAGAGGGTGACAATTTTTGGCGATATTGAGAGTTTTAAAGGGTTTTGCTGTGGACCCATTTTTGCTTTTGCTAGCAGACATGGGACAGACTAATTCACTAGCATCCTCTATATTTAGCCCTGCCTGGCCTGGCCTCCATTTTTTAGAAATAAAAATAAGTGGAATAATAATTATTTATTTTTGGAAAAATGAGTGATTGAAAAAAAAGTATAAAGTTTGATTTATGTATAATATTATTTATGGAAGATTGTGTGCTTGGAAATAGAAGTGAGAAAAATAAAATGTAATTTAATGAATACCAAACAGAGCTTAAGTAAGAATAATGTTATCCATTGTACATATGCCATGTGTGTGTGAGCATGTGTGTATATATAGCCTCCGGCCCTTTATCTTAATTTTTAATGTATGAAATAGTATTTTTTTTTTTTTTTTTTTTTTTTAAAAAATATTATTGAAAAGTAGGAAAAGTTTGGAGTAGTGTTTTTTTGAAAACATATTATTGAAAAAGTTGGAAATGTTTTCGATTTACGTATAATATTATTTTATGATTCAAAATAAGATTGAGAAGAAAAAATTGAAAAAAAAAAAAGGAGCCAAACGGGGGCATATATATTGTTGTGTGCACGGTCCAACAACTACCAATAATTTTCATTAGAAAATGCTACACTGCCAAAAAACTGGTGACCAATATCCTGACAGAGCATTCATAGCAAGAGGGCCCACTTCTTTTTAAAAATATTATATTCATGTAGGTCCCATGACAATGTGAATATTTGTCATCCCTTGTGTTAAAATTTTTTTAGCAGTGTTGCTTTTTTCTTTTCATTATGTATAGCAATATACTTTAAATAAATCTATTAATTAATATCGTGTAATTATCAATGATAAATAGCATTATTCTTAATTCAATTACATGAATCGCATAATTTTATATTTATTGAATCTATCACATAATGCAGCATAAATTGATGCTAGGGATATTAATCATTTTGGTGAACTTGGATAACGCGAATGGCATGTAAAAAACGCAAACTCGGACAAAATGTAGAATTCACGCAATTAAGTTTGAAGGTTTGTTTTTATGAACTCCTGAGCCACACGTGCCTTCCTTCTTTTAATTTTTTATTTTATCCCTTTTTTATTCTGAACATATTTTTCTACTTAACTTAAATACTGAATAATCTTCCATGAATCTATCCGGATTCGAAAAAGTAACCAGTCAAGAACCGAAATTTTGGGAACCAATTAGGCCGGAGTAAAAAGGTGAAATGAATCAATAAATACAAAGTATCTTCCGTTTGGTACACGGATCAGGAGATAGAGAACTTGAGGATTAAATTAATCCTTATTTTGTGTAGTACGAAAGCCACGTGTCATCAAAATTCTTGAGAAAAATTATTTGTGCTTTTCTTTTAAAAAAAGGAAAATGAAATGTTACCAAAATATTAATTGTGAATTTCCATAAATTAGTGCCAAAAAAAAAAACAAAAAAAAATGATGTTTTCAACTTTTGGGCCATAAAGCCAGGTGAAATTTGTTAAAAAATGCAACCAACAGAGTAACTTCAAACCACCACAAAATATTATTACATATACCTGCATAACAACACTACATTCTTGTACACGATGGTGGTCACATGGTACTACATTAAAACGGATTCTAAGCATTCCAAATCCCCATACTAAAGAAACCTTTTTTCTGGGAATGCATATACACAAAAGTTATTGGGACGATGTAGCTTCACACCTCTACCTCTGCTTTTTCATAACCTGAAAGACCCTACCTGGATTGGTTCTTATCTTCCGGAATGTTGAAGATGAACTGAGGCAAAGACGCTATCCTAGGGAGATTAAGCAGCAATTCTCCAACTGACTCCTCCCTGGTCATTGATGCTGGCTGCTCGTAACCATATGTATCATCGGACTCATCCATGGAGATAGGCTCGTTATCTGTAGTCGATGCACTACTGTTGTCATCTGATCTCTTTTCTGGCAAAGCTACGTCAGGACAGTTTTCACTTTTAATTTGCAAGTTTGGACCCACTGTAGCATCATCTTTCTGCAGAAGGCAGCAAAGAGAATTGACCCTTGACCTGAGAGACTTCTCGTCTGAGTCGGCCATGTGTTGGATGTCGCTGAACAAGCACTGTTTAATATCGTCCAGAATTTGAAGGCTTTGCCATTCCTCGCTCGAGAGAGATAGATGGTTAGTGGAATTCTGCTCAGATATCCGATGCTCAAGATAGCTCACCATATCACTCATAGACATAGATGAGTGGAGACCGGGTGCCCTGATTTGATCCCAGTTGCTAAGCACCTTTAGTTGCTCCATCCCGCCAGTTTTGATATCTTCAATGGTCAGTATTTCCCTAGCTGCATAGAATAGTAAAAGTCTTTCACTTTATCAGAATAAAAGAAGACAATAATCTATCTACAAACAACACAGCAAACACGGCCAACTGATGATAATTATTGAGGTGGAAATATTGTGCAACACAGAAGGCAATGATGTTACAACCCCAAAGAAAATTGGTGAACAAGTATCAGCACAAAATGGAGATGTATAGGTCCATTTTTCAGTATTTCATGGCAGAAGAAAAAGATATTACATTAAGATTCCCTCTATAAACTGTGGGAACAAATCAACACTGGGGACATTGGAAAACTCTTCTTTAGCATGGAAGATAGTAGAGGAGAAAAGGAGTAATCAGGAATCAATATTTTCTCATCCTCGCATATTTTTCTTTCGAACCTCAGAGTGGAGAACCGAAAGACATGAAAGTGATGACATAATTATCCATACAAGCCAGAATTTTGAAAGAGGCAATTTGACATACTCCTATAAGAAGATGCACTTGTTACATTAGTAAATTCCTTACAAATCCTGTCCTAAATTGGAAGTGTAGACTAAATTAGACTGAATTGAAATTCCAGGTGCCCCAGCTGGTTTTGGGAATTTGTAAAATGAAAAGCCCTGAGCAAAACATCTAGCAGCTCTCCTTGTTACAGATGAGTATGTACCAACTAAATGGATTAATGCAAAAGAGAGGTAGAGGTCTAGCCATCCAAGTCCAGACCCTGATCACCATGTAACTGTCCATCCAATATCTTCTCGAAGACATTGTATCCTACCACTTCTGGAGTTGTAACTAGATTCGGTGTACAAGCTTATCAGCTCTCGTGCTTTCTCGACGTAATCTTGCTAGGGGACGTGTCTTCTATATTCTTGCCCTTGTCTTTTCCCATACTCCCCTCACACGCCATATAGGATAAAGAGCCTTCACGTATATAATTCTTTTACTTCCTAGCTTGGCAGTTTAGAGTGACAGCAGTTCTTTTCATCCATTTCACGGATTGAAGAATTTTGATTGGTACATAGGATCAGTACCCCTACTTAGTTGCAGGTAAGGTAGGGTAATGACAAGCTGAGCACTGTATCAACTACTCCCCTCCCCAAAACAAGAGAGGAAGTAAAGGGGGTGATGCAATATTAAAGAGATATTATGATATTTATTTTTCAATTTGGAGAAGGGGAAGGGGAGAGAAGATGAGAAAGGAGGGAGAAAAGAGGAAAGAAGAGGGGGAGAGGAAGAGAAATTGGGGAAGAAATTATCAATTATTCATTCCTTCAAAGGTTCATATTACAACGCAAAAGATCCCTTTAAATAGGGTTTAAACTAGTGTTAAGCAGGAAATTATTCCAAAATCAACGAAATCAAAACACTTATTGTGTTTCCCAAAATAAATATCAAAATTGAAAACTAAATATCATAATCTCTCTTTAATATTGCATCAGGGGGAGTATGAATATCCCATACAGAAGTCATATCCATCCTGGCCATTCCCCAACCATACTATAAAAGGGGACTCGGACCACACTGAACAGGGCCAAAACTCTTCTTTGCGTTGAACAGTCTGATCCAATCAACTTAAAAACACAATTTACAGTCAATACTACCGGTCATGTGTCATTCACATCTTGATTCTAGTCACTTCTTGCCGAATTGGCTACCCCCAGAATGACCCGTATTACTTGGAAGTCAAAACCCCAATAAAATTCTGAATTCTTAAACATGTTACAAAATGTAACATACTAATAATTTGAAACACTATCAGATCATAATTAAATTGGAATTTCCATGAAGACTAATCCTACAAGAGGTTGTAGAAATATGGAACATTTTCTAATATTAATGCACCACATATCCAAACAGTTTTTTCTTGGTGTGTTTGGGGGCAAACAACATAAGGAGTAACCTATCGTGTAATTCTTGATACCCTCAGATGGTTTCCATAGAATTGAAGAATTCAATAAAAATGCAAATACAAAAGTGAAGATATACTCTCGTCGACAAGGCAAAAGATTATTCTCTAATAAGGTTTAATTCATGCATTCATTATCCCATAAACTTAGAAGCAATGGTAGGTTTGAATTTCCTCTATCTACATCAGTGGTAATTCTCAAAAACTTACTCCTTGGCTCCTAGTACCAAAATTTACGGTACAAACCAATGTATGCTTCCCTTCATGTTCCAGACCATGGCTAATTCACTCTACTAGGTAAATAAAAAGGAGCACAATGATGCTCAATTTGTTAGCCAGAAGCCATAAGATCACTCTCCGATAGTAACATCAGCTATGTCTTTCATTCATTTTTCTTTATTTCATCAAAGGCGAGATATTCCAAACCAGATTTCGATACATGGAATAATAATTGTAATTGAATAAAAAACAAATTATCACCTGGGAAATCTATACGCAGGATTAAGGAGACCCTTTTTTCATGTGGAAAGGAAGAGGTAAAAGAAATCAGGCCATCATAAAACAACTAACTAGAATAGAGACCATGCCAGACTACGCATACTTCTTTAAGTATTAACATAGTTTAAATAAGCATACTTCAATGTAACAAAAAGACTAAATTTAGTACACATTTTGTCATCAACAACTACAGTTCTACCTGAGCTTGGTGATGGTGTTTTGCGAGGGTAGGATTCTGAATGTCTACCAAAAGCATCGACTTCATATTTTGAAGAATATGATTGAGCTCCAGAGGGCGAAGCTGGTTCCCGTAAGTTTGAAAAGGAAGAACTCTCCCCACTATTCATATCAAACCCACTGTTGCTCTCATTTGGATCATCAAAAACAGAAATTCTGGGCTCAAAATATGGAGAGTCCAATGTTATCTCTCCTTGTTGACTGAGAAAGTTGAGACGGGGATCACATTGAATAAGTTTTTCGAAATGCTTTCCTAGCAAGCCTTGTGGGCTCTCCAGATAATGTCGCCTGAAAAATAAATAAATAAGTTTCACCCACATGTGTATGTAAGAGTTTCATGCATTAAGACTCAACTAAATCACCCTACGAAAACTGAAAGAAAACCCAAAAACATACAACCATACAGATGGCAGGAGTCCTCATGAAACCGGCAGGCAAAGTAAAGACTCTAGAATACAAAAAACTATAGGATAAAATAAAATGAAACAAGTGGCACTGTATCTGCAACACTACATGATACAAACGTTAACTAAATGGTAGAATTTTTCAATGAATAATCTTTTGCTTTCAATTTTGTATTCTGCCATGTTGGGCAAATCTACCAATGAAATGTAAGCTTGAGAATTATAGTGAGACACTGGTGCACCATACTTGTGTGTTCATGTGTTCATTTTCCTACTGTGATACTCTGATATCACCACCTGATATTTGACATTACACTATCGTTCAACCGGCCACATAGACCACAAAACACATATAAACTAGTAGCATACGTGAAGGTGGTATTTGTTCTCATATAATTACACCTTTTTGTATGGCATTACACCATCATTTAGCATGTCATGAAGCAATGTTCCTCAAGCAAGCACAACGCTATCTTTCACAATAGATCCCCAAAAACCAAAAGGAAATTATTCAAAGGTGAAAATCTTCAAATAGAAGCATTATTTTCGTAGTGTAAACAATTAACTCTTCCGTCTGATCTTGCAAACTGAGAAAATTACAAATATAAGAAGTCATCTAAGGCTTAAAAAACAAGAGCATACAGATAACAGAGATAAAATTCTTTCACAGTTAGATGTGAACTCATTCATGACTTTAAAAAAATAATAAAAAATACAGAAATTTGTAAGCTTAAAAACATAAATTAAGCACAGTTAATCTGCTCCCAACCCAGGCAGCAGAGATGAATCACCTGTGTATGCTAGCCTGTCCACCAGTAAAATCCATTGTCGCCTGCCAAAGAGTGTGCTTTCTAGGTTGCGGATTAGTCTCTCCGAAGAAAAGAGGTTGCCTGACCAACTGCACATCAAAGTGCCAAATTCATTGTCAATTTATTATTAATGGTGGATATGCTGCAACGTAATAAGAGTAAAGTGAAGTGAGCATTTATTACCACAACATCTAGAGTACCAGGACCATCATCAGGATAATTTGCCTTGAGAGCCATTATATCAGACCATTGAATTTCAATCTTATTCTTCAGTCCCCCATCAAGAACTTCCCACACCAGCTTATGCTTCGCAAAGTAACATTTTGCGACCAAGTCCCCTTCATATCTTGATTTGTACTGCAGATCCAATAAATATTCCAGTAAACATCAGCCAAAAAACTTGAATGTCCAATGACAAAAATCTATTATACACCTGTTTTATAAGAAAGATGTGAAATTTGAATCTACCTCCCAAGTCCCAATTCTAAGAATCAGTGCAGGAAAGTTGGAGGCCTTCAGCTTATCAGTAATGCCAGAAGTACCCCCTCTCTGTTCTTTTTTACCATGGTTATGACTTCCAACTTTGGATGCTCTTGCTTGAGACAGCTTTGCTTGGATTAACTCCAAAAGTGATGGGCTTTTTCTCAGTTGCAAACCCAATGGACTTGGCTCGTCAAGTAGATTATATTGTGAAACTGACTCTGGAAAACCTCCCATCCCCAGACTCTGCTGCTACAGTGAAACACGAACATTACTAATTTTATATTAACCCATTAATATACAATTGTAAACTCAAAATAGCAGTTGATACAGAAAAAAATATGTTGCACGCATTTAAATCAAAAGTAAATTCAATATAATCAAACATGGAAATTAATTATTGCAAAAGTAGTGGCTACTGGTGACAAGGTAGTAACCCGTCAAGTGACCAAAATAAATTCAAGATTATAGTTCACAATAGAATCGATTTTAGTTCCTTGTAAAATGAGCAGCATTAATTCAGAAGAGTCAGCCAAATTATTAAATTAATAAATTTAATCAACAGCAGTACTTGGTACAAAACAAAGATGAGCGATTACATTAATAAAACTTAAACGGAGATCAAGATCACATCAAGGTGAATCAAATATCTACACCAAAAAAGGGGAGAAAATTCCACCATTGAATGATAGCAAGAACAATGATCAAAAGCTTCTACTTATTCTTTCAATAAAATAGTCATCTCCATATTCCTAAAATGCTTAATTTTTCACACACCTACCCTGTTTATTACTTTTAAATAATCGTTCAAGCAAAAATAAATAATACACACACACAGACACACTCTGCAAGATTAGGATAAAAAATACTTTGTGGCGCTTGGAGAGTGGTCCGTGCTCTTCTTCTAAAGGATCCTCCATTTCCGTCTTCACCATCGGCGTCTTCTCGTTCTGCGAATCCGGGTTGCCGTTTTTCATCAACTGCACCATTGAAACAGAATACAACTCTACCTGTTTTTGAGATCAAATGGTAGTGAAACCTAACCCTAATAGACAGAAACTGAATTGGGCGGGTGAGTGGACTCGAATCGAGGAATTATAATAGTTGCTTCCGATGATTTTTGTTGTAAGAGTTCGTGATTGCTAAGGAAAGAAGAAATGACTGAAAAATAGAATTCATTTTCTATTTTTTATTCGACGGCGGCTCACACGTGTCGCCTTTATGCGCTTTTGGATTGTGAGTTGTGATGCTTCCTGGCACGTGCTCAGCGCCTACTCACACCGTGGCTAGCAAATTTTGGAATGACGTAGCATTTCATTTACAATTAAGCTAGACGTACAGACAACCTTTGACAGAAGTTGTACAGAAATTTAAGTTATTATAGACGTGGCTGGAAGAAACGAGGGAAAATTTTGGTTTCGACCTCATAACCCGCCAAATCTCTCTTCTCCTCCCAAAATGGAAGCCCTAAAGTTGTAGTGGAGATTAGCTGCTCCACTTTTTCGAATTGAAGAGCACCATTTGCTGGACAACCGTCAGTCTTCCAGTCGTGCAACGACTTCACTGTCTTCTCCAGTCCAGCGGCCATATTTGTGCAGCGACTTCACAATCTTCTCCAGTCCAGCGGCCATATTTTCAGTGTTTGAGCAATCGTGCAACGACTTCATTGTCTTCTCCAGTCCGGCGGCCATAGTTTCAGTGTTTGAGCAACCATTTCTGAATCTTCCAGCGGTGCGAGCGACTTCACTATCTTCCCCAGTCCGACAGCGATTTTTTCAGTGTTTGAGCAACCATTTCTCATTCTTCCAGACCAGAGGAGGTGATTTTCGGTATTATGCTGTAATTTTTTATGTTGTCAAAAAATTGTATGAATGTTGCTGGAATCATACCTTCATATGCAAAGGAATGAACACACACGCACATGTAAATGTATAACTATTGTTGGCAAAACTATCATATGCAACAGAATATGGTGTAGCATTTTCAACACACACACCACAGAATGTTTATTTGTACATTTGGGAAAAAAGGGATTGCTGTCATTTTTAACAAACCAGAGGAGGTGATTTTCGGTAATATGCTGAAATTTTTTTATGCTGTCAAAAAATTGTATGAATGTTGCTGGAATCAGACCTTCATATGCAAAGGAATGTACACACACACACACACATAAATGTATAACTATTGTTGGCAAAACCTTCATATGCAACAGAATGTGGTGAAACTGTGACTTTATTGATTGAATGCCAGAGTATATACCTCTTCCATATGGTAATGTGAAGGAAATTTTCGAAACTTGAAAAAAAAAGGGCTATTAAGCACCGTAATTGATCACTTTGACATTGCTATGGTTTGAGACATATGTTTGCTTAACAAAATTTGCTATATGAAATCACATCCCTGTTGGCTTAACAATTTATTGAAAATCTTGTCCAGCCAATTTGGTTGCAACACATGGAAGTATGGAAGATGCGAATGAAGATCCGTTATTGTTGTCCGATGATGAGATAGTTGGGGATAATATTGATAGTATGGACAGAGAACTGTTAGGAGAAGATAAAGAGGTTGCTCCGGAGGTAGGTATGATTTTCGATGGTGAAAAAGAGTTGTTTGACTTTTATAAGAGATATGCTTATGCCGTCGGCTTTCCCGTGAAGAAAAGGAATTCAAAAAAGGGTGACGATGGAGTTGTTAGATTTATCACATTCACATGTAGCCGTGAAGGACGAAGTGGCAGTAACACAAGTAGTACTTTGAAGCCGCAACCAACAAGTCAAATAGATTGTAAAGCAAGAATATCTGCATCTGCAGATAAAGTTGGGAAATGGAGAATTAACACCGTCTATCTCGAGCATAATCATAAAACAAGTCCTTCGAAGTCGAGGTTGTTTCGATGTAACAGAGAATTGACTGCAAATGCGAAGAGAAAGCTTGAATTAAATGATATGGCAGGAATTCCGTTGCACAAAAGTTACAACTCCGTAGTTGTGGAAGCATGGGGGTATAATAATTTGACTTATGTTGAGAGGGATTGTCGCAACTATATTGAACAAGTAAGACGGTTACGACTTGGAGAAGGAGACGCCGCAGCTTTACAATCCTACTTTTCAAAGATGCAAGCACGGTGTTCGGGATTTTATTTCAGTATGGATTTGGATGATGAGTCACGGCTTCGAAATATATTTTGGGCAGATAACAGATGTAGGCAAGCATACAAGGAGTTTGGCGATGTTGTTACCTTTGACACGACGTATTTACAAATAAGTACGACATGCCTTTCGCTCCTTTTGTCGGAGTTAATCACCATGGACAATCAATACTGCTTGGTTGTGGTTTGTTGTCGAATGAGAACACGGATACATTTGTGTGGTTGTTCAAGACATGGCTCGAGTGCATGCATGGCCAGCCTCCCCACGAAATAATTACGGATCATGATAGGGCCATGCAGAATGCGATTGAGATTGTGTTTCCAAATACTAAACATAGATGGTGTTTATGGCATATTATGAAGAAGTTGCCAGAAAAATTTGGCTATCATGTTGACAAAGGTTCGATATTCTCATCTATACACAACTTGGTCTATGATTCCCAAACTATTGATGAATTTGAAGAAGGAAAACTTCGAATAGAAAGGGCGCGCCAAGGAAACTTAGGAGGAAAAGTGCGTTGGAGTCCACTTCAAAGAAGGCTAAGGTAAGTTGCTTTACTAATCTCGTCAAATAGAAAAGGAGCTTTGCTATGAAATCTTATTTCTTTCCACGTACATGCACAGGGTACTTCAAATAAATCCAAAGGAAAGAGACTACCACCCAGCCGTACCGATATGGAAGAGGCTACATCGGTCCTTCAGTTATCTGGACGAATTGAAGATTCTCAGCCTACCCAATTTTCATATTCACAGTTGTTGGTAAGTTTATGATTTTAATGTAATTAAATCTAATTTTAGGCTCTCTTGATATGGGAATTAACGTTGTCATGCGATGCAGGGTGACGTACAAAGTCAAGTGTGTGCCCAACAGTTATCTTCATCTACCTTTACCCCTCCGTTGATACCGTATCATACTTTAGGTACTTCAGGTCCATGTGTTGATCAGGTAAAGGTATACTTTGTTTCATATGCATGTTGTGTGACAAACATTAAATGATCACTGGTAATGTATAACTATTGTTTATTTTATTTTCAGCTGAACGGTACGGATCGTTTCCCAAGAGCTTCCCACATTGCAGACGACATGGCCCGTAATCGACCCTTTACGGCAAATAATGACAACGACGAAATCTGATATGGGAATTGAATTGGGGACGGAACTCGGTTTTATGTCATTTCTATGTTTTGAGGGGAATTTTTCTGTCTTTATGTATAACTATTGTTCATTTCCTGTGCATCTTGGTAGACTTTGTGGACTGTGCTTTTGCTTGGCAGTGTTAATTGTAGTGTTTATGACTTTATGACTTTCCTGTGATATGGATTTTACTGTCAGATGGATGTTGCTGTGATATGTATTTTGCTTATCAAGATTCATTTACAGCTCCAGAAAATGTATTTTGCCACAAAATGTATGTTGTAGTCATTAGTGATTGCTTGCTTAATTCAAGAACAGCGCCAAGTAGTCGATTGCTTGCTTAATTCATTAGTGATTGCTTGCTTAGTGATTGCAGGTTACTGATAAATGGAGAGGCAGTTTACTGATTTGCTTGTACTTCTATATATTAAAACTGATGCAAATAGCTGGCAGCAGTTAGTAACTGCTAGAATCTTCAAGTTAGTTAGAGTTAGTTTGGACAGCTGAAATTAGTTAGTGTATAGTTGGAGTCAGTTAACTGTGTGCTTATAAGTAGCTGGATGTATCCAATTTCTTTGATCAATATACACGTTCATTTTCCCTCAATACTATATAAACTCCAACTTCATAACACTTTCGTAGCAATCTTTGCAATTCAATTTCCATGGTACAGAAAAGTCTAATTCAGGGACAAGTTGTAGTTATAGTTATATAGAAAAATGCAGTACACAAATGTTGGGGTAAAATATAATTCCTTCAACATGGTTTACATAAGTTTCCCCATAACAACTACATCTTTGAATAACAGGAAGTTCCAAGGCTTCCATACAACAGGTAAATCATACTTGATTCAGGCTTTCAAGATACAAAATGAAGCCTTCAACATCTACACTACCACTTAGCCCCCAATGGTCTTTATTCTACAGCCGACACACACACAAAAACAAGCCATAACATTCTCCTGCTACTTATCAAGCTCGGCCCTTTCCCTTTCCATTCACTTCCGCACTTCCCTTTGCCTTGCGGAAAGTCACATTCAACGTTATCTCGACGTCTCGTTTTTCTGCTATTTGAGCTAGACTATCGAACATGGCTGCCAAATCTTCGCCCACTTCATCTATGACCGCTTCAGTCCTTGTACTACTTTCACCATAGAATTCTTCATTCTCGACCCAAAAGAAATATCCACAATTATTACTGCACGTTTTGAATAATCGTCCTCGATTATCTGTCTTCCTTTCAACTTCAAAGCATTTCTCCCATCCCAGTGAGCACCATGGACATCCTCGTTTTACCGGACAGTCATTGAAGAAGTGCTGTGTACTTCGACAACCGTGACAAACACCCACGTTCTTCCGTCTCATCCTGGACGGTAATAAACACAAATAGCATATGCAGTTAATTGTCACAAATAATACCAGCATCTCACAACAATTCACAGGGAATGGGAAAGTAAAAACTGAATAAGATTCGGAAGAAACTAACCTCACTTACGGCTGATGCGGGCTAGTCGAATGCTGCCAGTGGAGTTGACTGTGGCGTCTGTGAACAAAGGTGAGGAAAATTAGTTTTTCGATCAAACTTAATTTTAGTTTTTTCACAAGTTCTTTCACTGACAATTTGGAAGGAAATTGACTTCACTGAAGCTTACAGTTTTCACAATTTTGGGGAAAATTATGCCGTTTTGGAGGAAGCCCAAATATTTAAAGCTGACAAATTTGGGGTAAAATTCATAAGACAACCCACGTAACGAAGGTGAAGATACCTTGATGTTCAGGGCTGACTCGATGCCCAACGGTGGAGAAGGGTGCGGCGTACGGTGGTGAAGATGAAGGAGGCGATTTCACTCTCTGTTCGACGTTCGAATATCTGTGCACATTTCAACTCGCCGGGAAGATGAAAATGATGGCGACGCCGGGATGAAGGGGATGATTTCTAGGGTTCCCAATTTTCGAATGTAGAGGGAAACGGGAATGAATTGGGACGGTGAAGAGAGTGTTTGCGTTTTTCTCTTTTTTTTTGCCTTAAATATTTTCCATCTGCCACGTCATTCGGTTCACATTCTGTAGGTTCAATTCTATTCGTGTAGCGGGGTCCATTTAAGCCCCAACCAAGTTATTGTAAAAATGAAAATAAAAATGAAAAATATAGTCGTTATGGACTCCACATAAAACATAAAAAGTCAAAATGATGGTTTGATATGATGAATAACGATCATATTTTTCATTTTAATAAGGAAATAATTGGGATTCAAACAGGGCCTAAATTTATAAAAGGAAAATAAATTGGATAAATTGCACCATTACTCCTTAACTTTTGATTTTATTAACAATTTAATCATCAACTTCTCAAATAATCATTTCTCAACTAAAGAAAATGTTCAAATCTTTATCAACTTGTCGCATAGAAATCACAAGTTTTACTTTATAAAACTAAAGTTTATTTCTTAATTTAGAATTTGGTGCCTATAGAATTGAATTTAAGAAAAAAATGAGATTTAGAAATTTTGAAACAAACGGGAGCATAACTCTATTATATTAAAGTTTAAAAAGAATGCTTAAGCATTTGTTTGACTCCTATTATATTACAATTTATTTTTCTCTCTCTTCTTATTAACCACACATAAAAACATATTACACGTAAATTCAAAATTTTTCATTCACTTATAATCATACATTCCTTAGAAAATTACTATTCTAGGATCAAATTCTCATTATAATGAGGAAACCAAATCTTAACTCTATTAGATAAAAGTTAAGAAGGAATGCCTCAGTTAGGTAACTTAACCTCAAATATCAATTTACACTTTACAAATTCGATCGAAATAAAACATATATAAACATATTCAATTTTGGAGGAAATACAAGAAAATGGCCCGTTGATCCGACCATATTTCTATAATGGCCCTTGACCATTAAAATAAAAAGTTAAAAGCTTAAAATGGTATGTTCAATACCAAAATCCAAAAATACTCTCATTTTCAACCTAGTGTTTGAGTGGAGAGGAAAAAAGAAATTTAGAAAAAACTCATATAGTCTAACAGTCAAAATCCTGTTGAAAAAACAATCCTCACAATCAATCCAACGTCAACCACTACACAACAAGACCATTATCATCAACAATGTTAGTTTTTTGGAATTATGAGATTGATTTTTCATTTACTATATTTCAAAAAATTGTGGATTTATGGTGTTCATAATGTTGATTCTCCATTATTTAGATAGATTATTGAGTGTAAACGTGATTAAGTTTTTTCTTTATTATTATATGCAATATTCAAGCTTGTTCTCATCGAAAATGGCGAATTCCATGGTAAAAAGTTGGCCAATCGATTGTTTCACAATCGACCCAACCGATTGTTTTAGCAATCGAACTGGGCCGAATATTTTAAATAGTTCGCCCAGTCCAATTGTGACGACTGTTATCGGACTAGGTTGACTATTTTAGGCCCAGTCCAACAACTCTCCTTTGTTTTTTTTGCCACTTTTTGTTCATTTTATTTTATTCTATTTAATTCTTTTCCTTTTACGATAAATCTTAAAATTTTCAATTTTAATTAGATAAGATTCATATTCTTTATTTAGTTTTATAATTTCCTTTTGTTTAAATTTTACTGTTTTACATATTTTTAAATTTATAAATTAAGAAATTTTAATTATTTTTTAAATTAAATAAAAAGTTTGAATTGAAAATTACGAAATTAAATATTCTTTTATACTAAATTACCAAATTCTTTTTCCTTTTTATTTTATTTTTCACTTTAAAAAATTGTTTTTAATTAAATATTTTTTCAAACAAATCTTTAGTCATTTAATTATCACTAAATAATATTTATATTCTTTATTTAATTTTTATAAATTCCATCTATTTATTTTGTTTTTGTTTTTATATATTTTTAAATTTATAAGTTAAGAAATTTTTATTCTTTTTTTAAATTAAATAAAGAAGTGTAAATTGAAATTTACCAAATTAAATATTCTTTTGTAAACAAATTACAAAATTCTTTAATTTCCTTTTATCTTTTTCAATTTAAATTTCTTTTTAATTAAATATTCTTTTTAAACAAATTTTATTTTTTAAATTTTAATAAAATAATATTTATAATCTTTATTTTATTTTTATAATTACCTTTTGTTTCATTTTTTTTTTGTTTTCATATTTTTTTTAAATTTATAAATTAAGAAATTTTAATTATTTTTTAAAATTAAATAAAGAAGTTTAATTCAAAATTATGAAATTAAATATTATTTTTTTAATTTTTAATTTAAATAAAATAATATTTATATTCTTTATTTTATTTTTATAGTTTCCTTTTGTTTATTTTTTTTTGTTTATATATATATATATAGAATTATTTTTAAAATTAAAAAAAGACTTTTAGTTGAAAATTGCCAAATTAAATATTATTTTTAACCAAATTGTTGTTTTCCTTTTATTTTTTTAATTTATTTATATTCTATATTTTGATTTTTTATTATTTTCTTTAATTTTTTTATATGTACTTCCTTTTTTTTTTTTAATTTTGTTTGCACTTCTTCTTTAATTTACTAAATCATTTTTTATTTTATTAGTGTCGGTTAGTGGTGGCAATGGGCCGAGTCGAGCCGAAGTTCGGTTAAGAGCCCTTAACCTCACGAGTTCGGCTCGCACTTGTAGCTATTTCATTTTGGGCGAGCTCGGCTTGGCCCACGAGTTTCTGGGTCGAGCCGAACTTTGACTTGTGGTTTCGTCTTTTTTTTTTAAATAGAGAAAAACACAGATAATGTAATGAAAACACTTTTAAAAAAAATAAAAAGTGTTAAAAAAAATACAAATAATTTAATGAAGACACTTTTTTATTTTTTATTTTATTAGTGTCGGTTAGTGGTGGCAATGGGCCGAGTTGAGCCGAAGTTCGGTTAAGAGCCCTTAACCTCACGAGTTCGGCTCGCACTTGTAGCTATTTCATTTTGGGCGAGCTCGGCTTGGCCCACGAGTTTCTGGGTCGAGCCGAACTTTGACTCGTGGTTTCGTCTTTTTTTTAAATAGAGAAAAACACAGATAATGTAATGAAAACACTTTTAAAAAAAATAAAAAGTGTTAAAAAAAATACAAATAATTTAATGAAGACACTTTTTTATTTTTTATTTTATATCATATTGTAATATTTTTTATAAAATATAAAATATTTATATAATGAAAACGAATTGTTTTTTGAAATACATTTACAAAAAATATTTTTTTTATTTCTTTTTAAAGTAGATAAAATGTAAACTCTCCTCCTTTATCTGAGCTTGAGACCGGCTACATCAATTTGAAGTAGGCGGAGTTAAAAATTGTACACGAACAACTTGTTGGAACGTGTACAATTTTTTAAAGAAAATTAAATTTAACGATTAAAAAATAAAAAAATTTT